CGAAGATCTCTGTCGGATCTGCTTTGCTTTGCATTCCTGTACTGAGAAGGAGGTTGGACTCGATGGCCTTCTAGGCACCCTCCAACTCCACGATTCTATGAAATTCTCTACTGTCTTCCATCCTTTTAACTTGGTTTTCCTTCTCTCTTTGTCTAGTTGTGAATGCCTCTGAGATCGAGGGTCAGCTGATGGAGAAGCTCTTTCAAAATTACTCCAACACCATCCGTCCCGCTCGGCGCATCGCCGACAAAGTCCCTGTAAGGATCGGCATGTCCCTCTCCCAGCTCATCAGCCTGGTGAGTTGACGCCGGTCCGGTCCGGAGGCAGGAGAAGAGGCGATACTAAGGGTCAAGAGCAGGAGGGGGAAGGGTATGAGGATGTGGATGCGGCCAATAAGAATCCTTCTGCTTGCGTGTCGCCTGTAGAGGGCGATAGAGTTTCACGTTCTCTTTGGTGAAATGCCACCAGGTAACTGTAGGGGGCGACATCGGGGAATTGAACTCTCAAACTTGGCATGACTGTGCATTGCCAGAGGGTGCTTGGCCTTGCGGGATGGGACCCACAGAGGCAAAAAGCCTGCCCCTTTCCACATCCTGCCAGTGCAGTCCCATGTTTCGCTGGGTTCCTAACTGAACCCACCTCGACGTTAAGTTGGGCACACTTCTTGGGTATGCAACGGTTAAAGGAAGCATCAAGCAACAGCTGCAGCTTCCGGCTATTAATAACTGAATTCTCGGGCAGCAGGGAGCCAGCCCAGGCAGACGGGTCCTTGCGTCGCTCCCTCGGTGGTCAGTCTCTCGCTTGGCTTGCAGAAATGCGCATTTTCCTCATGTTCTGAACGCAAGACTAAACAGAACCAGGAACCAAGAACATGCAACGTCTTATGTTTTAGCGTGATGCTACAGACTAAGGTCAGACTAACTTCATCCGGGCTAAAATAAGCCTAGCTCTGTGGCCAGATTTTGGGAGAAGCCCCTAATCACTTAAAAGCACCCAACTAGTTAAATCTCAAGTTTTACACGATACACTACGAAAGAAAGAAGCAGGGAAACCAAAGCTGTAAAGCAGGCAACAGCTATTCTGAGATGGCCAAAAATAGACTTAATAGCCGCACAAAGGTTAGTTATATTTTATATGCTTATATCTATGTTACGTATTTATAAATCTGCTGAGAAATAACTGTAATTGTTATAAAAACTGTATTTCTGTTGCCGATTGTGTTAGAATTGTGCACATTTGGGTGATGCTCGGGGGTCCCTTAGACATGATGCTGTTTTGGGCCTTGGCATGTTTAATCTAGAGGAGATAGGGTTGTGTTGGTTGGTTGGTTGGTTGGTTGGTTGGTTGGTTGGTTGGTTGGTTGGTTGGTTGGTTGGTTGGTTGGTTGGTTGGTTGGTTGGTTGGTTGGTTGGTTGGTTGGTTGGTTGGTTGGTTGGTTGGTTGGTTGGTTGGTTGGTTGGTTGGTTGGTTGGTTGGTTGGTTGGTTGGTTGGTTGGTTGGTTGGTTGGTTGGTTGGTTGGTTGGTTCGTTCGTTCGTTCGTTCGTTCGTTCGTTCGTTCTTGACATTTATATTCCACCAAACTTGTCCTGCCCGATCTTTAACGGAAGGCCGTTGCAGAGAGCAGGAGCCACAGCCAAGCAGACCCTGCCTCCATCAGGCTGACCACCCGCAAGGAAGCTCCAGCGGAAGGGGCCGCCTTCCCGTTGGAGAGATGCTTCCAGAGGGCCTTCTCCGGCAATGGGTTCAGATTACCAGGAAGGACATTTGGACTTAACCTTAGCAAGAACTTCTTTCGGAGAATCTTAAGCAGAGGTGGACGGCTGTCTGTCAGGGGTCCTTCCGCTGTGACGGTCCTGTGTCAGCCGTCGGGGCTTGGCGTACGCTTCTGTGATTCTGTGGTCTTAGCCTAAACGTCTCCAGTGCTCTGGCCCCAAAAAGCTTAAGAGTCGTCGCAGGAACACAAACACACAAAAACCATCCTGCTGAAGTTGGCACAACGTCCTGGCAGTAAGTCTTGTTCCGCTCAGTATGTCGTCCTTCTGGGGGGAGACATTTGTCTCTCTGTAAATATGTATAAAGTGCACCAACCCAAAATGGATTTCGGTGCACTCTACATAACAATTTTTTAACACTGTGCAATATTAAAGCATAAAGCAATAAAAAAGCAATAAAACCCAAGAGGAGTGAAATTATGCAACCGACTGAAAACAATGGAATAATTCAAAATGCCTCAGCAAGGAGTACCTTTGGGATGTCACGCCGAGACAAAGGGGTGTTTTCTCTCAGACTCAGAGCACACGGAAAGGTTGCCGTTTTGGGCCACAACTGCCAGAAACTCCCAGACAGCTTTGCCGTAATCTTTGGGGGATTATAGGAATTGGAATCCATAAGAATCCTTGGCTCTCTTGACATCCGGGCTCCCGCCGCCATGAGGAACCCCTCTTGAGCCTGCACATAAAACACTTCTCCTAGGGATAACATCATCCTCACCATCATCTTAGAACTTCAGAGCTGGAAGGGACCCTATGGATCATTGAGTTTAGTCCTTTTCAGGTAAGCCCAGGGGAGGAATCGAACTCCGAACCTCTGGCTCTAGTCCTTTTCAGGTTAGCCCAAGGGAGGAATCGAACTCCGAACCTCCGGCTCCGCAGCCAGAGAACCAAAGCACAGAGCTATGAAAGGCAGAGAGAGATTCAGTGGTTGGCTGGAAAAAAAATAATCAAGGCTCTTGTGGGACCTTTAATAAAATGAATTAATTCTGCCAAAGAATTAAAAAAAAAAAACTTAGTTCCATAATTTGGGCCCACGGATGACTTCAGTAACGATGAATTTCTTCCTAGGTTGAAATCACCCTGGCATCAGGCTCCCTGTGGTTTTGGCCAGAATAACTTTTATTCTGCTGGAAAACTTACCATTTTTCATTTCCTGATTGTCCCTTGCTTTGTGTTTGTTTTTTGTTTTTTCCAGAAAGAAAAAGATGAAGAGCTGACGACAAAGGTTTATTTGGACCTGGTGAGTAAAACACAATAGACTAATATTTACAGTCCTGGTCTGTCTGTTTCTTTGTCTCCTTTCCTGGGTCTTCCCAGTGCAATCCCACCATAACCGTTTTATTTATAGTCTTAGACGTCGGCAGCTCTGTGTTCCTCTGTGCTAGCATTTCGGGCAACAGAAGACAGAAACGCTGTGGCACCTTAAAGACTAAACAGCTATATTATAATGTGAGCTTTTGTGGACCTCATGTCTGAAAACATACACAATCATCTAGACCTCATTGTTTTTGAGGGGGGGAAAGAGAGAGAAATGGGTGGTTTTCTCTAGAAAAAAACAAAACCAAAAAGAGCTTAGAAGCTGGTGTGGAATTAGCTGTATAGAGACCATGGCGGGGTTTTGAATGTTTGGTTAAATTCCTCTAGCAGGGCAGCAGAAGTGCAGGGATTCACAGAACAGAATAGCTTCAACGTTCCCAAATCAGTCCACCCCTTACCTCATTCACTGGCACTTACAGTCTCAGTTCCTCACTCAGAGAGATGTTGTAAGAGAAAGAATACAAACCATTTTCTTTACTTAACAGAGCAGACCATAAACAGATAAACATGAATGTTTCCAGCCACAGGCTTCCACAGATCCTCTGCCTCCAGCAGACTCAAGAGAGGGGAAAAGACACGGAGCAGAGAGGCGGGGCTCTCTTTGAATTCAGAGGCAGGGGAGGAGCGATTGGTTAGTGCTGGAGAGATGGACAGCCGTCATCACCCATAAAAGTCCTTCCCAGCCACACTTTCTAAAGGCAGCACGCGAGGTTGCAAAAACTCCTACCAGCCCCTTTTTCTGAGATCCCGCCAGCCCGCTGAGAGCCACAGGGGTGTGTGTGTTCCCTAAGCCTGGTCATAATAAAAACCCCCATATGTGTGTTGCTGTGATTGGTGTAGTTGTGCTTTTTCGCTCCCTGTCCCAAGGCAGCCTTCCTTTCTTTCCATGCTCATTGTCACTTTCTCTGCTCATCACCGGCTCTGCCTCTCCAGGAGTGGATAGACTACCGCTTCACCTGGAATCCCGCTGACTTTGAGGGCATCACCTCCATCCGGATTTTCTCTGAGGACGTCTGGCGCCCAGATATCGTCCTGATGAACAAGTGAGTGCCTCTGCGGCAGCTTCAACAGGAGGGAAAAATCAACTACACCTCTTTAAAAAAAATTCAACTTCAGCCCCCCCAAATCAACAACCTCTAGAGGCCGATGCCTAGCGTCGGTGCCGTCGGAGCCGCTGATGTTTGCCAAGGTCCTTCCCACAAAGCCATGTTATTTCGGAGTTAACTGGCAGTAGGAAGTGGCCAGCTTGTCTCTGTGGATCCTCTCTATTCAAGAGCAGTGTACCTTTCAATGGAGGAACTTAGGGATTAACAGATAGGATAGCTCTGTGTGTTTTTGTGTGTGAGAGATTATTCTGTATTCCCCCCCTCCTAAAAACCCAGCAAGGGGCTAACCCTCTTTTCCCCCCTGTCTTTCTGCCCAGCAACGATGGTGTTTTTGACATTTCTCTGTCGGTGAACGTCATGGTGAGCTACAACGGGACGGTGCGGTGGCAGCCCCCGGGCATTTATCGGAGCAGTTGCAGCATCCAGGTGAATGGGACTGAGTTGTGGTAGTGAGGGAAACACCAGGAGGGCACAGAGACCTTAAATGGTTAAAAATATATATATATTAACAAAGAATATATCACAAGTCAGAGTCTCATGCCAGTTTAAAGACTCCCAGATCCGGTGGTTTATTGATTGATGGATTGATTGATTTTGTAGGTCGCTGTCCATAGGGTGTACAACATTTCGGTCACCCTTTAAATACACGGCGTCTGCAGTTTTCGCCGTGGGATGAAATGGGACACAATTGTATGATCAACACGGCTGATGAACTTCCTGAAGTCTAGTTAAATGAATATCTTTTCAAAAAGGAAAGTTGTTCGCTAATGCTAATCGTCTTTAGGCTAATACACAATGTTTAGGTTTTTGTCCTTGAAGAGCAACGAGTTCCACGATCAAGAAAGATCTTGTGCTAAAGCCAGAAATTTTTAGGCTACATGTAAACGGTAGAGGGGAAAAACAGCTTTTTAAATATATGGACTGTGCTAAGGAGCCTTATTCAAGCCTCTTTGTGAATCTCTCCCAGTTCAGCTGTTTGGTTCTCAAATATCCCTTTGGAAACACTTTTTTTCCCCTTGCAAAATGTACTCCCAACGAGAGGTTCGGAAATGTACCTTCCCTGGAATTAGCCAGTTTTCCCCCTCTTAAAATACCGTTTGCCAAGAAACTGTTCAGGGTTCGACCAACCCATGAAACCATCCAGAATAGTGCATCGAACTAATAGGATGGTATATACATTTAATTGATTGATTGATTGATTGATTGATTGATTGATTGATTGATTGATTGATTGATTGATTGATTGATTGATTGATTTTCTCTGTGAAAAGTACTGAACCGTTTGAAAGAGAGGATGGACTTAGCGAAAAGGGCGTGTTTAGAATCAACAAGGTGGTAAACGAGCCATCTTTAAAATGCATTGGCCTGCCACTGTCAGAATCACCCAGCCAATGTTGCCGCCTAGGGGATTCTGGGAGTTGTAGTCCAACGCACCTGAAGGGGGACTTCCCAGAGTTAGAATGGAGGGGGATTGCTGCTGTTTCCCCTGACTTCTTTCTCTCTTGGGGGGGGCAGGTGACCTATTTCCCTTTCGACTGGCAGAACTGCACCATGGTCTTCCGGTCATACACGTACGACTCTTCGGAGATCACCCTCCTGCATCCCCTCCAGAACGGGAAAGAGTTGAAGGAGATCATCATCTACCAAAACACGTTTATCGGTGAGAAATGGCTGTGAACCTTCCTGATGGGTCGGGCTGGCCCTCCTATCCTTCCTCCACACTGAGGCTTATGGAAGCAGCCGTTCAAAGCGTTTCATAGCCCCCCGGGTTGAAGGAGGCTGGTTTGGCACCGGCGAGTCCCAGTAGCAACCGATGTTGTGGAGCCAGGGCCTGCAGGGTTCAAGCCTGGGGTGTGTGTGCTTTTTCAAGTACCAGGGGGCTCTTACATCATCTGCCCTCCCCGGATCGTTTGCAGTCCTCACAGTAGCAGGGGAAGAAAGGCGTTTCCAGGAAGAGAATACTATTGCAAGCTCTCCCTGCTTTAATGCAGAGTCTCTGAGGACGATTTGGTCTTGAATGGGCAATTAAGAGCCATTGCCTTTACAAAAGACCCGCTCCTCATTTGTCCATAGGCATTCATCCGGCTGCCTGAAGCTTGGCACTTTCCTTTTATAAGGGGTCAGAGCAGCTATGAATCCCTGTCCTGCCACATTCGCCCTGGGCCTCGTTTCAACGCCGGGCCCGACCTAACCATCTTGTGTCCATGGCAATCTGGAAAATCTCTCCCTGCTCCCCAGCCCTGGACCTTTCTAGAATTTGTTTTATATTTATCTAATGGGGTTAAAATATGTTTCCCCCCCCCCTAGCCTTTCTCCTTGAAAGGACCCACTGTGGCTGGACCCAAAGAGCTAGTTTGGGGTCATGACTTCTGTCTGTCCACTCCCTTCTTTCCCCTTTATAACTACAAGGGGAGTCTCCTAGGTTTTGCTCCCTTTCTCGCACCCATGCCTCACATGGTGGGTCGTGAATCTGTGGAATGCCTTGCCACCAGGATGTGGCAGCTTCCGGTGGCCCACTTGGACCATGGATCTCAAAGGGGCACAGAGAAATGGGGGGGAGATGAAGCCTGACAGGGGATGGCCTCCCGCCTCAGAGGGAGGCTGACGCTAGACCCCAGAGATTGGGGGCAGCCCTGCTCCAGCCCTGCTTATGGAGAGTGCCTGGCTCTTAGGGGGCTGACCCACGTTTTGGGGAATGGGGTTCCTCCTCTCGGCCGCCAACCGAGCAAGCCAGGCAGGAGGAGGTGAAAGCTTGATCTTTGCGCCAGAGGTGGCTCTGAAGCCTGGGCCTTTCTCTCTACCCAGGACTTTCTCCATGGAGAGCTTTGCCACTAGGCTGGGCTCGCTCCCCTTACCTGCCCTGCCTCTGGGCCACCGTCAACCCCCAGCTTCCTGACTGGGCCCCCAACGTTTCTGGGAATGAGATGCAGTGGCCAGGGGTTCCCATCGGCCAGTGCTCAGCGCCTGGGTGGCTGTCATGATGGACGAGAAAGGTCTTTAGGAGGACAGGATGGGAGGTCAAGGGTGGGTGGGAAGGATAACCGTGGCCGCCTTTGCCAGAGAGATTCCTCCGGGTCGCCTTCTTGGCTCAGCCACCTCCTCATTCATCAATGGAGGAGTAACGAGGATTCCTTCTGTTCTCCCTTCCGGCAGACAACGGGCAGTGGGAAATCCGGCACAAGCCGTCCCGGAAGAACACCCTCCCGGGTGACCCCTTGTACGAGGACATCACCTTCTACCTCATCATCCGCCGCAAGCCACTTTTCTACCTGATCAACGTCATCATCCCTTGCATCCTGATCACCATCCTGGCCATTTTTGTCTTCTACCTCCCGCCTGACGCCGGTGAGTGGCCCCTGAAAGCCAGCTTCGGCAGCAGGTCTTCGGCCAGCCGTTGCCCCAGTGGCTTTCACTGCAGCACGTCCTGCTTTTCCCTTAGGCTGTGCAGGAGGAGGGTTGATGTACAGGCTGGGTACTCCTCTTAAGGC